ACACACACACACACACTCACACACTCACACACTCACACACACACTGGACACTCACATCAGCCTCACACCTGCAAAACACAACCCACTTCTAAAATATGCCTATTTAGGCTAGTTTACTTATTCATTTTTAATTAGCATTGAACATTTTGGCAAGGTTCTCTCAACGTTCAGTGAACGTTCTTCCGGTAACATTAATAGAACGTTCATTCAAAGTTAGTTGGTCTTTAATAACATTAAAAAAAAAACACTAGCACAAGCATGTTAGAATGTTTTCTGGATCGTTTTAGTTGGACGCTGGTCTTTTGTAAACATTACTAGTACTACTGGTTTCCTGATTCATTCTGTGTGTCTCTGTGTGTCTGCTACACAAACTCAAACACACAAGATGATCGTCTCAATATATGAGACATGAACAGGTGAACTTCAGCTCCAGAGCTGCTCTGAGACTCACTTCAGCAGCTTTACACAAAACCACGCTCAAACACACACTCAAACAGATCTTCAACAAACTGACTAAATAAAAGATTGGTTTAACTTTAACTAGGTAAACATTAACTAGACATTATGACAGAAATATTACTATTGTATGCTAAAAATGTACTTCTCAAAGTATTATTATTATTATTATTATTTAAGGAATATTATGCAACCAAGATATCTTTTCATTCATGTTATAATTTATACACTTCTGTTGTGCAGCATCTTCATCAAAATATGACAAAAAATAAAAATGCAATGTTTTGTTGTAAATTAATTGTCATATTTTCATTTGATTACATTTTAAACCATTGATTAAATTGTTAGTTTTATTAATGAATTTAGACATTTTGATGATAAATTTGTGTTCAATCATAAAATACAGAATTAAAAAAAAAAAAAAAAATTGAAAACAGAATTAAGGAAAAATAAAATGGATTTCACATGGCCCTAAATTAAAAGAGATCTTACTTGGTGGAACATTTACTTCCCCTTATGATAAATATCGATAGGCTATTGTATGAAATTGATGGAAAAAAAAAATGTAATAATATTTTTGGCCATATCTCCCAGCCCTAGAACATTTCTTTAACGTTTACGTAACCAAAAAAAACAAAACATTTTTAAAACATTTTGAGCATTCCGAGAACATTCAGAAATAATAATTTCATAACTTAGCAAACATTCTTAGAGCATATTCCTGTTAGCTGCTACTGTCCATAGAGCATCACTCAGGAGTCCAGGTCGTTGTGGTTTTATCCCCCCCCCACAAGCCGGCTGGTCCCGAGAAACCTGAGCTCTTTCTGGCCGTCTGAAGTCGGCTGCTTGAGGGGTTTGAAACGACCAGCTCTCATGCTTTCACACGGATTTAAGCACAAATAGCTGCAGCTCGCAGGGAAATTATCTCCGTCATATCACTGAAAATCCCACAGCTGTATTTCACATGAAAGAGTACAAGACTCTGAGATTTTAAAGCTGCTTCACTCATTTATTTTATTAGCTTTTAATGAACGTAATTAGATGGCAAGTAATTAAATGTAATTGTGCTCGCGACATCCTCCCCCATCGTTGTAAAATTGGCCCAAACAACATGTGTGGTGCGAGCAAATTTGCTGGATTAATTGGGGATAGATAATATTTTTGGATTGTATTTCACACTAAATGGCCGCGCGCCGAAACAAAGAGTGCGGCTCGAGCTCATTAATCTCTGTCAGGGGGAGCTCGGGTGTGATTTGCATGACTGAAGTAACGGCGCGTGCTGTCGGCCGCCTTTGATTCCTGCGACGCGTCAATCAGGCCGCTTCTGCTATAAGTACTAATTACTCTGACACCATTCCAGAGCCAACATTAAAACCTTGACAGTGTGGCCTCGTTAGGGCAGACGCATTTCTGTGTGTGTAACGTGGTGAGCGTCTCGCTGATATAAACTTATGAGAATCAACATTATGCAAGCTTAATTTGGTGTCTGTGAGAGAGAGAGTGTGAGAGAGAGAGAGAGAGAGAGCACTGGTTTGGGTGGTTTATGAGGACACAAATTTGTATAATGACATGGGTATGAGACAGGTATTACCCGTAATTCAAAAGGCTTAAAAAACATACTAAATGGTGTTTTTTTGAAAATCTAAAAATGCAGAAAGTTTTCTGTAAGGGGTAGGTTTAGGTGTAGGGCGATAGAATATACAGTTTGTACAGTTGAAAAACCATTACGCCTATGGAGAGTCCCTACAAGGACAGTGAACCAGATTCTGTGTGTGTGTGCATGTGTGTGTGTGTGTGTGTTTGTGTGTGTGTGTGTGTGTGTGTGTGTGTGTGTGTGTGTGTGTGTGTGTGTGTGTGTGTGTTTGTGTGTGTTTGCTTGTTTGTGTTTGCTTGTTTGTGTGAGTGAGTGAGTGTGTGTGTGTGAGTGTGTGTGTGTGTGTCATCACGCCTCGTGCTGGGTTTTTTCCTTTTTTTGCCATCATTTCTAATATCCTGGAGGCATTTTTCTCATTATCAAATATTTTTTTATGTCTTTATTTGGTGATGATTAACGGCAAACGTTGAAAATGCAGTGTTAGTCTCTGAAGGACATGCACATGTTTTTCTCATGCGGTCATTTCTCAGGACCATCATTAGACTGTTTTCACTCATCTGTCTTCATTGTGCATGGCTTTTTAAGCTCAGTAAATTAATCTATTAGTGTCTGAGGTTGGACTTTTAGGAGTATTCGATTACATTCTTTCACATCTGCTCCTGTGATTGTCGTTTTTTTCCTGCACTGGTGCAATAATGCTTTTGTGGTTGATATGTTTGCATACGAGAGCGATTGAAAAGCCGTGATATTCATGACACGGCAAGCAAACAAACAGCCAAGCAGCCCTCGCCGTGTCACAGCGAGACTGAAGATTTGGGGCATTGTGTCTCTCTAATGGCATTATCCAGTGAGATCTAAAGCAGAGAATAATGGCAGATATGAGCAGAGGCATTGTGCGGCGTCTTATTTAAACACATTTTGAGAGCGAGGCAGACAGAGAGAGGCAGACGGGTGGCTAAATGAAAGGTTATG